GCAGGTTTCCGAGACAGATTTAATTATTTAAAAACCGTTAACGATTCAAGTTTATTCTTTTCAGGATCAATTCGTTCACTGTAAAATGGATATCATCTCCTATTCTCTAAAGATAATTTCTATATTAATATTCAGGCTGGTTCAATTCGTCTGCTGTTTATAGTAAGTATGCTTCGCCCTGCAATTGTCTGCACCAACCCTAGTTTTAAAAATTGAACTATAGAATAAACTTAAAGCAGTCAGGTTTAGAGGCGGCTATAACTGGGTATCTTTCGCTTATAAGTAGTTCATCGAGACTACAAGCATACTTCATATATTACTGAATATTTCAGCTCTTCAACGTGGTTATTTCAGGCATTTTTAGAACCCTAAGACATTTGTTGTGCACCACTCACTGCTTACATTCAAATTCTCTACTCGTATTTTGCTATCCTCCATACAGACATCTCCCTCACAAATCTGTTTTCTGGCTCTGGCTCAGCAGTTGCCTCTCTTGGTGGAGCTACCTTACTCGGGTCTCTCAACATTTCATCTGGACTCTCGTCCGCTCTCAGCAACACGAGCTGTGTCACAGGCTTCGGTGGGCTCCCTGTTTTTAGTACTGGACAGACCGGGCAGGTCAATGGAGGTCTGGGCAGCCTTGGAAACCTGATTGGAATTGTGACCTCATCTTCCCCTTTGTCATCATCGTCATCCTCTCAGTTGCCTCAAGCTTCTGCTTCTCTCTCTGTGTGCTCTTCGTCAGTAACGCCGTCTTCAGCTGCACTAAGTCTGGCTTCTACCGGAGCCCGTCTTCTTTCCTCAGGGGGAGATCTGCTGCACTCTTCGGTAGGTGGGGCGTCCCTTACTGCACCAGGAACAAGTTTTCTTAACACGGGAATAGTTGAGTCTCAGCAACAGCAGCATCAAGCTCATCAGACTCTTCTGGCTGCTGCAGGACATTTGACAAATCCGACATCTGGAATCAAGCTATCGGCTAGCGCTGCCAGTTCAAGCGTGTTTACACCA